TCCGCTTTGCACGCTTTCTAGTGCGCAGCCAGGATAAAGCCACTTTATCAATGTAGCAGCGTGGTAGACGGGAAGAATATCGAAGGCTGCATGCAAAGGTTAGTCGTACAGATGTCCCTCGATACATTCCAACACCAGTTTATGCGTATGCAAGCGAGAATGCACAGGTGCGCAGAGAATTGCTGGCTCAAAGACACGCTGGCTCAAAGACACGCTGGCTCAAAGTTACAGGACATGGTAAAACATCGAGAACTAAAAGCCGTTCAAAACTAGAGCTCGCACACCTTCAAGACATACGTTAAGAGCACAATGGCCAAAAAAATAATAGTTGCGTTTTACACCAGACCACAATATGATTATGATGTGCACAATAGTAGACGGTTCTAGAAGTTTCGACCACCTGGGGTTCTCTAAGGTGCTCCGAAGTTCAATTCCACGGGCCTCTGGCAATTCGCCTCCACCGAAATTGCATCTGCCGCGACCGGGATGAAATCGACGTCTTCGGGATCCGCAGCCGTTCACACCTTAACCAAGTACCCTCGCTACGGCCAACTCAAGTACCAGGTGCGCGCTGCACTGAATTCTTGAAGTAAGCTATAAAGTTGTCTGAGTTGTGGTAAATTCAAGTGCCGAAGAATGCACAAAAGTACTTGCTTAGGTTGGCCAACTCCCTCATGAGCCGACTCTCTCAGACTCGGATTGGACCGTGAGTATGAGTCCGTGTTAGTCCAGGTGAGCAATATTTTGATGAGTCTGAGTAGGATTGAGTCTAAGGAAAATATTGCTGAGTGTGTTGGAGTGAGCCCTAAGTGCTAAACACATTTCGTGATAGTGTCTGAGTGAACCCCACCATTAATTGTCAGCTTATGGTCCTATTTAGTCATATTCAGTATTACTATCAGCGTTATAAAAGCGTAAGTTTGTACTAAAGTCTTTTCACAGATATTTCAACAATACTCCACATCATACTTGTCGATCCGAGGCCCGAGTTGAAGAAGGGGGGCACGATTAACTTTCCGCGCAAACTCTTTCAGGGAAGTTCTTTATAAAAATGTATCTTGTGAGTCACCTTTTTCAGAAAAATGTCCTTACTGCATCTGAAGAACTCCTTCAAGGTGCAAGATAAGAAGGCATATTGTAGAGCACCGTTCAGCGTGGGGTATTTGCGTTAAACAGCACTAAAATTAAGATTAGAAGCGCTAACTTATGCTAACGAACTTACAAGTCGACTCCTTCAGCCTGACTAAGATTCTTGTCTGGGGTCTTTGTCTGGAGTTTTTGTCTGGGGGAGTCTGGCTGTGTAATGTGAAGGTGGGATTGAGCCCGAGTGAGTCGGCTCGAGTGCAAATATTGTGAGTATGAGTCCGAGTATGCTTGATGGGTGAGAATTTTGTTAAGTCTGAGTTTGAGTCAGTTCGATGAATCAACATTTTGATAAGTCTAAATTCTAGTGAGTTCTCAGAGGTCAAAAAATAGTCTTGAGCGAGCCTGAGTGATCGGCAATTTCTTTGCCGATCTATGGTTATACAAAAGATAGCGTAGAGCACTATATCACTAAGTACATTTACCTTACATTGATGTGTGATAGCTTAGGCACAGGTGGAATAGTGGCACGTCATCTTTCTTACATCTGGTTCGTGCTGAGAACGTACTTGTTAATCACTTCAGCTGTCCTACAATCTTTGAGTAGCCTCATATTGAAAATTTCATTGTTGTTATCTAGAACGGGAAGGCTGCGGGATATTTGGTCACGTGATTCAAACTGCGCCAAAAAGTTTTGGTGACCATGCTGAAACGGGACCGAAACAACTCCTTTTTCGCTGTTAAAATTAAGCGCACTTCATTATGCATTTGAAACTAAGTCCCCCTTTCGAAGTTAAGACCGAGACCGGAACGTCGTCCGACGCTTTTGAAATGACGTTGTCTTGATACAGCATTCATACATCACAGGACTTCTGTTATAAGTCGACCCAGCAAACTTCCACGAGAACCGTCAGCTTAAGAACTGACATTCCTCGCGAAGTTCATTATGCACTATGTAAGCGTCACTCGCTCCAACGTTTCTTCAATTGTAAGCCGGCGTGTCAGCAGTTCGGTGCGTGTTGCAGCGAGCGCGTACTACGCACCACTGCGATCACGTGTTCTTTTTAACGACATCAGATTATGCGCTGAGGCCTCGCCTCTGGGAAGGAATTATTCACGTGTTTTATACGACGCGGGATTTTCGATTGTGCCGCATAAAATGTGTGTCTGTCGAGATGATGAGGTTGCGGCGCTAGCTTATGCAGATGAATGTTGCCATAGATACAGTTAATTATTCAGGCTGTACATTGCGAACAATGAGAGCCAACTCTCCAAAGTCGATCGGTTCACGTCAAGATGTGTAGATAAGGTTTTAGTAAACGAAGCTTACAACCTAACATGATAGGGGTAGTGAGCGCCGTTCTATTCCGTTTCCAAAATCTTATCCATTACCTTTGTTACCTTTTCTATTTTTCTTAATTTGTTGAGTGCTGCAGCCAAAATTTGCGCGGCTGTTCACCGCTTCTTCCCTTCCTATCTCTTTTCATTTTTTATTTTAATTTTTGTTGTTCTGTGTTTATAACTCTGAGAGCCGATTAACAAACCTGGTTAGCATCACGAGCTTCTCTTACTCGTTTTATTTTTTCTTCTTTCGTTGCGTTGTATCATACGCGTCTTCTCTTTCTAGTGCCTACAAACGTTACTACATGCAACACAATATAGTAAATGCGCGATCAAATTCGCTATGCACTACCTCTGTGATTTAGAAGACATCCTAATTTAAACAACTTATTTGTTCGCTCGATTCTGCTTGACGCTTAATCGGCGCTTATGATTTATTTGGCTTATCACAAATCGCGGGGGCTGCCACAAAACTGCGTACGGTGAACGAATGCCCGGTTTAACGTCGTCTGAATGAAAAGCGGCTTTTCATGCAAGTTGATTGTGCTCTGTGACTGGAGGATTCGTATTTCTCTTCGCACCTGCTGATCGAGCCTAGTCAAAAGTACAAAGCATAATAAGCATGAACACGAGTTCTGTGAAGTGTGAGTCACGTAATACTTATTGCTTGTGAAAGACAAATTACAGAGTTATATATGAGATAAAATGATTTTGGAAAAACATATTTGAAAAAAAAAAGAGGTTGCTATACGCGACAATGAAGTGCTGTTAAGCCACTCTGTATACTCTGCCTCAGCAAACTATCTGTTTACGTCTAGATTTGTTTGAATAAAAAGTGTAGGCAAATTACGAAAATTCGGTATGGAAATACAGTGAGGCAGTAGCGTTTTCTCTTTTTCCGTTTGTTGTGATTTTTGTCGCTCCCAGTTCCAGAAACAGTACGTCTCCCGAACGACAGATGACAACCCCACGAAACTAAAAAAAAAAAAACATTTGTAACTTTGGGTTGTCTTCACTGGTAAAAGGCCGACGATCGGGAAGGGAGAAATAGCACCGTCCTACCGTAACGTATCTGCGTACCGAATTCCGTAAGACGTAGAGAGAGAATAGAATGAGAGAAAGGCAGGGAGGTTAACTAGAAATTGGAGCATCCGGTTCGCTACTCTGCAGTAAGGGAAAGGGGAATGAAGAACAAAAAAAAAATAGACGCGCGAAAAAGAAAAAAATGGAAGCTTGGGCGCTATAGCCTATACAATTGGCCACTACCACGCAAAAAGTTCAATAGAGCCTTCACTAATTTCTGTGCACCTTTCAAGCACTGATTGTTCTGACAAAGGTCTGTCGTCAAGGCGAGCTAACGCAGCAGCTAACTGCCGTCTTTGCACGCTGTAACGAGGGCACTGACAAAGAATGGGCTCTATCGTTTCATCGCTGCCGCAATGATCACAAGCAGCCCTGTCTTCCATGCCGATTCAAAAGGCGAAAACCTTGGTGAAAGCGACACCAAGCCACAGTCGGCAAAGCACCATTGTCCCAAATCGAGAGGTTCCGAACAGAGGCTGAAGTCTACGAGACGCTTCCAGCCTATGCAGTCGCGTGTGCCGTAAGCACTCAGCGTTCCACAGGAATTTTACGTCTTCATTAGCGATTTTTCGGATTTCCATTGCAGCATCGGTCCTTGAAAATGGGATAGATTCTTCTTCACCATCCTCGTGTGCTGATCGAGCAGCTGCATCGGCGTGTTCGTTGCCCAATATGCCGCAGTGACTTGGAAACCACTGAAACGTGATTTCGTGTCCTTCGTCGAAGAGGTGGTGAAACAGCTCTCTAATGTCCTTACACGGTACACAAATAAATTATATCTCCTGTTCTCTATCTCTTTATGACTGTCACTTTATGACTGTAACTTTCTAGGACCTTTTTTTCTTGAGGCCCCCTGTTTCTATTGTGCTGTGGGCGCCTGTATTGGGGACAAGATCCAGTGATCGGTTCAGCACCGCTGATTTTTATTTCTGCTTACGTAAACATAGTGAGGTGCATTTATAATACATGTAACGGTGGATAAGTCTATAGTACAACAAATCTGCAGCCATGATAGAAAGCTTTTTATTCAGTCAGGTGATGATCGCTAGTGACTGTGCCGAGCCTCTTATGAATGACCATAAAATCGTGACATTACCCAACGGGTCATGGTGCCTACTGAAGCCTTGCTAGTACTGGACGTGAAACATGGTGTCCTTGTTCTACGGACTGAGCGTACGAAGACATCAACGATGGAATGCGATACTCCTGAGATATTGTGCCCACCTCTGCCGAGTTTGTAAGACAGCAACGTGCACAGAACGCAGCAGTGTTGTTTCACCTCGTACGAATGTTTGGTATGATCTTTTCTATTTTTCTATCCTTTCGTTTCTTAATCCCCTTCTCCTGGCGTTGCGTAGCAAACCGCAGGCGCGTCTAGTTGACCTTCCGGTCTTTCTTCTCATTCTAATTCTCGTCCTCCTCCTCATGTTACTCGCTTATGTAATATACGAGTTCACTTGCCGATAACGCGTAACCTTGATATCAGCACTTACGATACAGGTCGAGCGTGACAGCGCTTGTGACCACGTATGTTCCGTTGTGGTTAGACGCCTTGCAGACCAGCGACACGTTCAGGTCGTGCCGGTGCAGCTGCGGAAGCTCCAGCGTGGACCGGGACACACCATGTGACGAGCTATCGGCCGTGTGGTGGAGCTGCTCGCTGCCGTTGCGCCACCAGGTCACCGTTGGCTCGGGAACGCCTGCAAGACGAACCGAAAAGATACTCACTTAGCAAACAGCCGCTGGCCATTCATCACGTACTTTGATCGTCCCGTACTTCATCACGCGTTCACGTATGTTTGCCGTTTCCAGTGCAGTACAGCCGTTAGACATAATCACCCCTGGAGTGACACACGCAATAACACTGCACGAAAGAAACGCAAAGAGGACCGCAATCAGTGGTAATTGTGTTTCATAGCGAGTGCTGGTAAGGCCAGGATCAAGTTTTTTCTGAAAGCAGTAGAGGCCCTTTAGCCATAACAAAAACAGGAAATTGCAGAGAGTAGTACATAATAAGGTGAAGTTACTCTAGTCGGCAGACGACAGTGACCCGTAAAAGCTTCAACGTCTACCTCCTGATGATGTGACGCGCGCAGTCTATTCGCATTGTTTTCTTGCTTTTACCGTAAAACAGCAGTCGTCTTCTGTTTGAGGTACCTAATTGGTGTATTTATTTAGGTTGTATAGGCCAGGTACCACACAAGGGTGACCAATTCTGCTCTGGTGAGGAAGTGCCTTAATGGCTGCGGTCGCCAGTGAGACTGCACTTTGGGCCTTCTTTTTTCATGTAATTTGATCATCTCGCGTTTTAATCCGGTTGGGAATTGTCCAGATCGAGGATTCGAACCACAGACCTCTTGCATGGAGGCTGATGATCAGCCTCTAATTAGGGGTTGTGCCACACATTTCAGCACTCTTCTTCTTTCTTTCTCTTTCCTTTCTATTATTCCCCTTTCCTCCACCTCAAGTGTAGGGTAGCCAACCCAGCCAAACGTGGTTAAACTCCCTGCTTTTCCTCTCTATTTCTCTCTCTCTCTTTCTAGAATTCTACATTGACGGCGGATCAGTTCATGACTTGACCTTCCTCGTAGCGCATGTGGCCCTTCTGTCACTTTATGGAACTCAATCGTTCTTCTTGGAAGAAAGAATACACTTCACCGCACTACATGGAACACTTAGACGTTACATTTAATGCGTGCTGAACGTCTGCTCTCAGGTTGGCCCTAGCCTCTGTCAATTATTACCTTGCTTCTGACTATATGTGGAGGGAAAATGTCCCTCACCTAACTGGCACACGTGCCCGCAATGCTTGGAGTACTACCATATTACTTTATTCGCGGGTACGCACTTCTGCGGAGAGTTGTCTCTACTCCGCGCGCATTGGCGTGCTCAAGATGGCATCCTCAAGAGACATTTTTTTCGGGTTGAACTAGCTCTCATTGGAATAGAAGTTAATGTATTAATAACACTCACACATGATGAAATAATAGTTTCATTATGACCTATGGTCCTTAAAATTAAGAGTCCAAATATATTTTACTTCTACATGAGCTGATTTTTCGCATATCAAAGCTGATTAGAATTCTAAGTAGCCTTTTCTCCAGAGAATTTTTCCGTTGTCTTATGACATAAGATAAGTCAATTGGAAATGCAAATGGCATTAGGTTTAATCAAGAAAATATATCCAGCCAAATGATGAACGAACACAGGAAACAGACAAGGCTTCTTGTCTTCTTCTCTGTTTCCTGTATTTGTTCATTTTTGACTGAATATATCTTTTGGGTGCAGAGCACCAACTACCCAACAATGAGTGTTATTAGTTTGGGCTTGAAGTATAAGAAAATAGGGGATCTATTCTATCTTTTAGCCCTATATCTAGGGATTGTAACATTTTCTTTCACTAAGGGTGTGTGCGGGGTTGGCCTGTCATGATCTTGCCTTATCTTTTTTTTCCGTAGCACAGATTCTATGCCACAGCAGCACTGACAAACAACAAATTGCAGCGTCTTTGTCTCTGAAAATACTTTTAAATCGCCTCGACAAGAAACGAAGGCGATTCCCTCGTTGTATTTCCGGTCACTAACATTGCTTTGCGATAGGTGGAGAGACACTGGAAGTTGTAAAGGAATACGCCTATTAGGACAGGTAGTAACCACAGACCCGGGCCATAAGAGTGAAGTAACAACAAGAATAAAGACGTAGTGGTTGAAATTGGGCGAGAATTCTCAAATCATGAATGGTAATCTACTACTAACTCTCAAGAGGAACGTATATAACCATTCAGAATTTTTTGCTGCATTTGGCTTAGCAGGCATGGTTAAACAAACAGCTTTTCTTGCTAATGAACATTGAACGTACCTGTTGTTTTGTTCTCAGAGCAAAGATGGCACGAAAGCGATGACCTATTTTACCATTTACAACATTTGGGGGTGTAATTACTGTGGGCAAGCATCAAGCGCTAATTCGGATCGTAGTGGGGGGTGGCGACTGCATGGACACTGTCATGTTAATTTATATTGTTGTTGTTGCCAGCTCAGAAATTTCATCAATGTTATTATCCTTCGCAGCATAACCCAAGTTTCGAACGACATACTAACGCCGTTGATTTATCGGAATTAGCATGTGTCACTGTACTGCGCAACCATCTTCTTGATAATATAACTAACGTAAAAAAGAGCAAGATCGTTAGGAGGCTGCTCAAATAACTGCCTCTTGAGCCCTATAAGTGTGCATATCATTTGTGCACTGCGGATAGTTTTCATTTTAAGTCCACATGGGTCTCACTTGGTATAGTGTGACACCTCATTTCCATTTACAGTGTGGATGTCGTTAAAAAATATTTCATCATTTGTAATGTATGCTCATGTCGTCATCAAAAAACTGACAACGACTAATGCAGGGCAAAGACATCTTTCATGTTCCTCCAGTCAACTCAGTCCTATGCTTGCATGCTACCCCTCTATACCGGCAAACTGCTTACCTAACTTTCTGTCTTCCCTTCACCCGCTTGCTTTCTCTTGCAATCCAGTCTGCGATCCTTAATGACCGATGGTTATATTTCCTTCGCGCTAAGTGGCCTGCCCATGACTATTTATTTTTCCTAATTTCGACCATAATGTCCTTAACACCAGTTTGTTCCTTATCTATTACCATTCGAATTGTATATAGCTATTGTTTGCCGTTTCATTTAGTTTCAGTTAGTGAAACGAAGACTTGGCGTATGTAAATGCAACATGTTTACTCTTCTTTTTTCACTTTGCAATCGTCTTGATTGCTCTGTGTAAAACAAAATAAAATGTCGCCCCTCGCTCGATGATTTCCCGGGGAAACCGGGGGCGGTACTTGTACAAATAAATACACCCCTTTGCTTTGGCAGGTGCCGAACGGTAACGATGGGATGAGGTATAGTTAAGATCCCAATCATTTCCGTCTTCTCTGTTTCTTTTTTTCTCGGTTTGCAGCGAAAACAGGCGCACAGCCATCAGCCACCGCGAACCGAAAGAGGAAGTTATATAATCGCTAAATTTTGAAAAGGTAACACGTAGCTGGACGAAACGACGCTATAATAGCCACAGGTTTTTCATTTGTATTGTACTAATGTTTTGGTTTGCGCTATGTCAGCATTTGTCTCAATCGCCCGTCTTCTTCATTAGTTTTGACGCGCATGATTACTACGATGGGGTCCTAGTCTGAAGTAAATGCGGAATAGCACAATATATGACACCACAACAAAGAAAGCTGCTGTGCACAGCAACCCGCTCATCAGCGTGCACGCTATATACGGTACATCTAGCACGACGCGTAACAAAGGCTGAAAGACTTGCTGACTAGGCAGGCGCCGCACAAAGGGAGCACTTCCAGACGAAACAATCAGCCTCGATCAAGAACCGGCACGTCACTTGGTCATTGTCTTTTGTCTCTTTGTCCGCAAAAGTGATGTAAGGGAGCAGCGATACATGACTGCGCCAATTAAACAAAAGCACTACGTCGAAGCGTTTGTATCATGCATTTCTTGAATTTCCCGGTTCATCACTTCTCACCCTCGCTTTCTATCGAGCCAATTTCGCAACTCATACCTCTGCAATTAGTAATAGAAAAATCTGGCATGTAATGCCATTGGCAACGACCCGCTACCCTGCTTTCTTCCGTACTCCATCCCTGCTGACTCTCTATATGGGAGCAGGTGAGTGTCGCGGGTTATGTCGATGCGGCGAGCACACGTACTGGAGGCGTCACACATCCGCAAAAACATGTCGCAAGTCATCCCCGAGTTCCGACAGCCGCCCGACGGGTGCCGACGGCTGCTAAACTCGCACGTACGGACAAGCAAAGCCGAAACGAAAGACAGTAGCGTGGCTAAACCTAGAGGAAAGACACCACACACACACGTCTCCCTGGTATGGCACCGCGGCAAATACAGCACTGGCGATGTATAGGAGTTATTGCTAGCGTACTCGGCGGCGATGGCAGCGTGATCATCATTCGAAGCGTCGTCACCCTGGCCCGTCGCGTTGCCGAATGAGCTTCCCATTCATTTCTTTTCCCTAAGAATGCAACGAAATACTTATATAGGAGGGTAAATAAGCCATATTTTAGTATTAAAGGTCTAATCCCACCGACGCCGAGCTTGATGGATGGCGATAGGCCGGAGGCGACGCTGACGCAGGCTTCGCTCGATTCGGCGGTCGCAGGGGGCGCTGCTTTAGGCACACGCCGCGGGATGGACCGAGTCTCAGGCAGCGATGGAAAGAGAGAGAGGTAGTCTGCCTACGCGTGCTCTTAGGTCTTTCTTTCTGATGCGTGCCTGGCAGGGCGCCGGGTAATTGGTATTAACGAGAGATCCTGCCGCGTCCTAGACAAGAGACGTCACCGTGCAGCACCGACATCAGTCAAAAAAAAGGAGAAAAAAGAAAAAAAAAAGGAGGACAGAGGGGTGGACTTCTGGACTGGCTTTGTTGCAGCGCACGACCTGTGGAAAAGATCCGAGAGAGAAGGTAGGTGGAAGTTTAAAGAATATGTGCTTAGCCGCTAGAGTGTTCGTAAAATCAGCGGCACACCACAATATTAAGGTGGTTTAAATGAGGGTCACCGATTGGTCTAAGCTGTGGGTCCAGTCTTCGTGCGGGGAGCTTTCAACATGTTTTTTTTATTTTGCCTGGACATTATTTTGTTTGTTTTGCCCGGGTCTTTTAGTTTCGAT